ATACTGCATCTACCACAAAAAAATCCGACTGTAACTTCGCGCAGAGAGCTCCGATCGACACCAATAGCGTAAGTGATGGCTGTGAATCGTGGAAACACAACGCGAGTTACATAGTTGGTGTCGATGAGAACTCTCTGCGAGGAGGCACGGTCGTTATTTTTATTGCAGATACAGTATATCATACCGCTGAGCCCCCTTTTGAGCATATCTCCGCAACCACTGATCGGATTTGACCGTCAAAAGGCTTCTTGTATGGTGGGTGTGGGTCATAGCTACACAACGCAATTTATTTTGTGCCAATTGAAGCTCTGTGGGCTGAGATACGGGCGGTGACGTATATAAGAAATAACGCCACCGGTGACGTAAATAGAATTTATCTGAGGAAATANGAGCCCCCTTTTGAGCATATCTCCGCAACCACTGATCGGATTTGACCGTCAAAAGGCTTCTTGTATGGTGGGTGTGGGTCATAGCTACACAACGCAATTTATTTTGTGCCAATTGAAGCTCTGTGGGCTGAGATACGGGCGGTGACGTATATAAGAAATAACGCCACCGGTGACGTAAATAGAATTTATCTGAGGAAATAGCACAGGCAGGAGGCGGAAACGTCCGCGAAGCGCCAGCGCGCGAGGGAAGCAGAAGCAGAGAGCACGGCCTCAGGACCGACGAGAAAGAGAGCCGCGGAAGCGGCGGTGGGGGGGAAGAAACGGCGACCGGGCACTGCTGTAGAAGCGAGTAGGGCGGCCGAGGCAGCACTTGTGGCGGACTATGTACCCGGCTGATGCTGGTGCGCCCTGTTTCCCTCCCTGCTGTATGCTATACTCCTTTATGTATGCCCTTTGTATTGCCTTCGGCCTCTGTGCTGTGTTTCTTTTTTTCATGACCTCCGTGCCTACTCTGCTGTGTTGGGTACCGTGATCTCGCTTTGCTGTTGCCTTTGTTTTTGTAGGTCTGGCTGTCTGCCCATCTGCCGCCTCTTTGTCCTGTTTTCTCCGTTACTTCCATGCCCTGGTGCGTAGTGCCTGGTGCTGGTACGTTACCCTTTGATCTTTTCTTTGGGCGGGTGTGGGAAGCGTCCTCCTTTATTTTTTGTTTTTGTTTTATTTTGATCGGTTTCCGAGGGCTCTTTTCTCGAACGGTCGGTGCGATACCCGTTCTTTTCTTTCTATCATTTTGTTTTCTTTTTCCGAGTGGTTTGTACCCTATTTTTGTTTTGTTTCCCCGCGGCGTCGTATGTGCCGGGTTTTGAGACCACGGGCTCCCCATTTTTGTGGACTGCAGAGTTAATATGAGAAACAACAACAAACAACAAACTGTGACAACAGGCACGCACGGGCACGCTAAACTTCCGGTACTTCAACCAGATTCCCGTTCTAGGGTGTTTTCATGCGCTGCGTGCTATGGGGGTGGACGCATGATGGGAGATCGGGGAAGGGGAACAGAGCTGGCTTGGAGCCAACCAAAAAGGGATACCCTCCGAAAATATCGTTAGACGTTCTTGCAAGGAAATGCGACATTCTGGCAGAGATACCGCGTATACTCGTTCTAGCCGCGGATGAGCAGGCAGGACACAGCCGCCAACGATGACAGAAATCACCATTATAGCTCCGTTATGACCTGGCCTTCGACTTGTCTCTACTTCTTGGAACAGCTGCTATGCCATGCGTTCTTGATACTGTTGCGGCATCGGGCAGGCGGAAACAGCGAAGACGTCGAAACGTACGAATCGGAACGTTCCGGGCTATTTGTAGCATATCTGTGCTTTCGTCACTGCCGCGTCGGACAAACGAAAACGAATGAAACTCCGCCCGCGGCGCTAAGTGCAGAACGTGTACGAGAATGCCACACCAACACAACTAATCACACAGTCATGTTCACAAGCGTTTCCAGCATATGCACGCATGCGCGGAACGCAATGGAAATAACATCAGTCACCCGCCATTCCACAAACAATCCCCTTTCGAGTCGGCCCAGCATGGGGCAGCCCCAATGGCTCAAGGAATCGTCACTAGGTGGCAGATCCTCCCAATGCCACAAGAGCCTGCGACGCCAGTTTCCTAGCCTCTGCGCTTTCGTCGATGTTCGAAAGCCCTATCAGCAGGCGTTTCGCTCTCGACATCACCGCTGGCGATAAGACGCTTCTTCCGGTGGAGGCGCCGGCGCCGGCGGCGGTGGCGAGGGTACCAGTACTTTTGTCGCTCTGCCGGTCTGGCATCATCAAGGCTTTCGCTTCCCGTATCCCTGCGGTCCCTCTCTGCCTTGAACCGCTCAAGTTCATCGCGCTCTCGGTCCCGCTCGGAATTCCTGCAGAGGCGGCCTCATTGACGCCAGCACCGACACGCCCATCACCCCCATCACCCCGAACACGGCCGTCACCACCAACGCCATCATCAACACCACGATCGGGACCACCACCACCGCGAATTTCGGTGATACCTCTATCATTCCCGCTAGCACCAACATCGGAGATGAAGTTGGGGGGTTGTTCGTGGGGGTCCCGTGATGGGACCGGTGAAGCTTTTGCCGCCGCAGCGCTCGGGGAAGCTCCAGCGGCCACTACACCAAGAAGGAGCTTCAGCCCTGACACGCGGACCTGTTTTTTCAAGCAGTAGTCGGGTAGATATGAATCCAACGCGTTGGTGGCTAGGATGACTGGGCGCAGGCGGGGGGAGGGGGCGGAGAGCAGGGACTTGTGCACGACCCTGTACACGTGTTTCAGGAGCGAGAAACGTTCGGGTTACCTCGGGTAGTCGCAGCAGAGGCGGACGAAGACAGACCAAATGGCACCTGAGCAAGGAACTGTGTTAAACGGACCAATGAAAGTCGTCAAAAACGCGGCGCTTCGATGTAGCCACTGCACCCAGGGCGCTTTCCGTGCTTCCGCGCTGGCTGGCCCGCTGTCACATACCTCCGGGTGCTGATCCTTTCCGAGCGCATCGCACGCCACTTGCATGACGTCATCGCACGTGCAGCTCGCGCCGCCCCGGCTGCCGCTGCCGCTGATGGCGCCGCCTTCAAACACGTTCTTTGTCCGGTACACGAGCGCGAACAAGGCCTGACGCAAACGTGTGCCGGGGAACACACGATCAAGGCGGGGGCATGAGGACACCCGAATACCCAGGGGTCGGTTTAGAGAAATATTGTGGCGGAGAACTACTTGTACACAGGAGGGCATAGGCGAAGGGGGGATGAGAGGCGAATACTCTCAACAAGGGATGCCACAAAAAAAGACGTCCGAGCGACCTGTTGAGCCCAGCTCGACAATGTTTCCTTGTTCCCCATGCAGGTACGCGAGCGCGTCGCACTTGTCTCGAGAGGAAAGCCCGCCATGTTTTCGATTCGCTTCCGATCGAGGAACGCTCAAGAGATGGCCTTTCCGACACCCTCATGCTGCGATCCACCCAACCCTGTATGTAACCCTACCGTTAACGTTGAGTTCGAGCCGTTCACGTTCGTTACACGGAATCAAGCAATGACGCCTACATATCCCACTTTTCAGTGATTGCCGTCGTCAGCGACGGTGAATGACTACTGCATCACCGGTTTGTGCCCGTAGCAGATACGTGAACGGGGAAAGCTTGCTCCGCTCCGAGATATCGTCCGGCAGAGGCAAACCGACAAACATCGCCGCCCACCCCTACCACAGGTGGCACGGCGGTGACATGATTGTTGCAGACTACGTTGTCTAGAATACAAATATTCTGAAAGCAAGAACTTGCTCGGCAACGATGGATGTTGTGCTCGAATCTGTGGCTGTGATGACGCTCGCGAAGAATGTTCTCGCGGTCGTAGTTTAGCCAGCGGCAGGATGTTCCGGGAACGAACAACACAATTGCCACCCATGAGCATGTATCCTTTGTGGCACGCGAAACCCCCATTTCCCGCCCCGCGCGCGCTAACCTGTAGGCAAGCCGCCCGAAGCAGGCCGCTGCCACGAGACGCCCCCGTCAGCAGCGTTCCCAGAAGATTCCCGCGGCTGCAAAGAGCCGGCAGGAACTCCGGCGGGCACCGCCTCGCCACCGTGACCACGGAATTCGCGAAGCACATGCGCAGCTGCCATGAGGTCGTCATTTCAAGAGGTATTGCGGTCGGGGGGTGAGAACTGGAAAGATTGTCATGGCCGAGGTTGCGAAACCTCGGAGAACCATGGTCTGAATGACAAGGCGGCGTTGACGAGATGGTTAAAAAATCTTGTCCTTGAACGAAGATGGACAATTTCGGGCGTCTACGACTCAAAGCGTAGGTGGGTCGTTCATGAAATCTGAACACAATCCCGCGCCGGTAGGGGACTTATCAAATGCGGTAACCAACACCATCCTCCATGCCCCTCCCGCGCACCCTACCGGCAAGCCAAAGCCTCCACGTAAGCCATGAAGGACCAACGCACCAACCGAAAGACAAGGCTTGGGCCACCAGGCACCTAACGGAGTGGTAGACGTATGCGCACCTGTGCCGGAAATGCCGGAACCCGTCCGCCGCCAGTGCCACCCTCATCACTCCCCCCTTCCGCCCCCATTTCTTCTCCGTTTTTCTGTGCCCCCTCTCGTCGGAAGGCCTCCTTCAATGACTTGTCAAGCCAAGACCCTTCATCCCCACCGCTGAATCGTTCGGGCAGCACGCCCCAGATCGCCACGCTCCCTACAAACTCGGGAACGTCTCGAATCCCCATGGGAGGAAAAATCCCAGATGGGATGGCGGCTGACGAGACCATGTCCGTTTCTGGGACGACAGAACTAGCGATCTCCCATTCGAAGGCCTTGGAAGCGAGATCAAGTGTCGCGCTGGTGGTGGCGGTTGCTTGCGCCGAGGACTGGAGGAGAACCGCAAGGCAGTTCATCGCTGCTTTCTGAACGTGTGCCACGTCGTCGGCCGCGTCCCTGCAAAAAAACAGGCGCCAAGTCCAAGACAAGCACGGTGTGACGAAGTGTTGTTTGTTCAATAGGGGAATGCTACTGGTTCAAACCGCTTACCGCCACGCTCACGACAACAACAACGACGACGACGACGACGACGACGACGACAACACTTCATTTCACCAATACAACTCACGATGTCACCGGGAGCAGCGCGACTCGGATTATGGCCGAAAGAAGCGGTGCCAGCCAAGACCCCACCGAAGCCCCGTGGCTCGTGGCCGCGTGGCAAGCTGTGAAGAGCGCCCTCTGCCATCAAACGGAGAGGGCAAACAAAAAAAACGTGTCAGCATGGACGCAACTCGTTTTGCCGAGAAAATAAATCGACAACGAATATCAGCAACACCTCCACTGACACCGACAACACCGACGACAAGGACAACACCGACCCCCCACAGCACCCCCACCACCAACACCTGGCGAATCGAAGCAACTCCCCCTGGAAACTTTACCATTTAGCAGCCACAGCCACGGCAGCAGTAGCAGCAGCAACCATTCCACTCGCAATCTCTCACCGAAGCGAGGGTACCCCGGGACTCGACACTATCGTCCCCTTGGTGTTCAGCACCAGGATCCTCCGACGACGACCCCTCCACCGACTCGCAGAAGCGGAATATTCTCGACACAACACCGGGAAGGACGAGGCGAGGAGGAAGAATCCCGGAGACTTCCGCGGACATTCTTTGGATCTGCGGGGGGGACAGACGGCCGACGGTAGGGTTGTTGTGACAATATCCTCCTGGGCGAAAAGTAGTTCGTCGCTACTACTGCCAGGCAGGGGTAAAGTGAGAGCCGCTTGTCGCCGTACGTTGAGTGGAAATTGTTCTAAAGTATGCACAGAGGGATATCTCAGGGGGAGCTTCCGAACCCGGAAATTGACTCGAACAAATATTTTCGGCTGGACACCTCGGGGTGGAAGGGAGCGAGCCCCCTTTGTGCAAAAAATCGAGAAATTCGGGGCTAGTCGAATGGACCGTGGCACAGCGGGGCACCACGTTGGACCCAACGAGCAGCATGTTGGACCCAAGGGTACGGTTGGCGGGGTATGACGTGACTAATTCATCGGTTTTCGCCCATTTGATGTTGGACTTCTCGTGCTGGGCATTGCCTTCGTCGAAATCGCGAACACGCCCCGCGATAAAAAGGTGTTTTCGATTTTTTCGATGAACGAAAGTGGGAGATTCACAAGACGCACACGAACAGGCGGTGGATATCGTTGCGACGGAGTTAATGATAGGTTCGATTGCAATCAGGCCGTGTTAAACCATTGGCGAGAAGCGCAGCAAGTAGTAGCAATACACGCACGACGACATGCAGACCCCTCCTCCCAGTAGCGAACGACTCTGGTGCCGAAGGCCGACAATTTCCCGGAAACAGTCCAAAGCATTCCAACACGGCCTTTGCGAAAGCTGTACCCATAGTCATGTTCGGCACTGGCTTCCTTTCCCCACGCGGAGACACCCTCAAAACATTGGTCATACAGTGTGCTTTCCACAACCCCCACAACCCTTCTTGTCCTCCTCATGTCGTGGAAAACCGACAGAGATATTTGCCGGAACCCCTCTGACGGACGGGGTGAGATCTGCCGAAATCCACAAATAGGTCAAACCTGGTCAAACTCGTACAGCTGCTCCGTCCTCTCCAGAAGGAGGGCCCGTATTTCCTCCAGACACGCCCCCAACCCACACGAACGAGGGCCCCCTTCTGTCGGTTCACTCCCGCCAGCGACTGGAGACCCCTGGCGACGGGACCCTACTCCAGAAACATGAAAATCTTCTTTGGAGAACTCCATGGACATTGTCTGCTCCTGCTGGTCCTCCGACAGCAGGGCGACCGGGGGCAGCGCGTTGAGGATGAGCAGCGGGGTGAGGCGGCAGAACAGGAGCGCCCTCACCGTCTCGGAGGCCTCCTGACTCTGCCAAGGGGGTCGGGGACAAAGTTTCGGAGAAATCGAGGGCAGCGTGCGAGAGCGAAGTGAGGGAAACATACCCACATAAATGTATTGTCTCGAGAAACCAATTTGGCTTGCTTTGAAAGCAGCGTTGGCGACCAAGCAACTCTATCGTGAACCACGCCCGACTGCCCTGCAGACTGTTGACAAGGAGAGCAACTAACCCGTCCTCCCCGTTCCCCGATACTTGTACGTATCGCTTCTCACAAGCTCGTTGTGCCGGGAGGAACGACGTGCCAACGCGACCCAGAGCCAGTCCCTCAAGGACAGCCGCCAGCAGACCCAACAAGAGGCTCTGGAGTGTGCGAGTCTCCCCTCCCCCCGACAGAGATTAACGCTAACACTACGCGCATCCTACAGCAGCTAGTACGAACCACCACTAGCGTCACCTCGTCTCCCAGAAGGTCTTCCGACAAACGCGCTTGGCCGGTCATCCTCCCGCGAACGAGCTGCAGCACCCCCGCAAGGGTGCTCCTCCTCCTCCTGGAGCACCCCTCACTCCTTCTCCGTCTTTTTCCTGCCCTCGCCTCGCCCCCCACGGCCGTTCCTGCCCCCGGTGCTACACTCTCCGCGCTGAGCAACCCCGACTGATGTTCCTCCCCCGTGCAAATAACAGGTGTCGATGGCCATGTTTCCGTGTCAGCTGACGTATCCGTTGGGGACAACGTGACCGTTGAAATGTCCTCGGCACCTGTTGGAACCACTGAAGCGGCAGCCGCGCTGGTTCTACCATCGACCTTGTCATCAGCGCAGGTGGCGTCGTCAACACAGCCACCCCTAGCACTAGTAGCAGCAGCAAGGGCGGCGAAGAAGCGCACCGGCAAAGGCTCCCCGGGCGCCGCTAGGGCCTTGATCGCCGCGGCCTCCAGGCACTCGCCGTACAGGGTTGGCGAAGCGACTTCCACCGCCGCAGTCAGTGTTTTGTCGGCTTCCTCGTCCTCCTCGTCCTCCTGGTCCTCCTCCGCAGCAGCGACAACCACTCCCGAAGGACCACCGGCAGGATTACGGCCGGCTTGCCTCGAGACAACGAAAGATTCGTCCTCCTGCTCATGGACGGCATCCGAGCGGTGCTTCAGCCTACGGGCCCAGAGGGGCAGCGACCCCATCACGCGGCCCACCAAACCTTTCGACTTCCTGTCATCGCTGCCACCAACACCGCTGTCGCTGCCTCCTCCCCCACCGACTTCGGCAAGGTTTCCAATAGCTTTGGGAGGCGGCTCGTTTCGGAGGGAGTCCAGCAAGGCGGAGAGGGCATCCGGTGGGTCGCGTCCGTGCACGATAAGGTTTCCAAGGGCCTGAAGGGCGGCGGATCTATCGCAAGGGCGAGGGGCCGGGAGGGAGAGAACGGTAACCGCGATACGGTAAATATAGGACGGGGGGGAGAGAGAACGGGAGGCTCAGAAGGAGTACCTTCCGGCTATGGGAAAAGTCATCAAGAAGAAATGTTAACAGAATGTGGCGCAGCGGGGGGGGGGACCGTGTCGCACACAGCTTCCTGTGAACACGGGAATCGACGAGACCCCTGGAAAATAGACAAGACCGGTTCACCAGCGAATGCTGCCTTTGTGTTGTCGCTAACAAATGGGACCCATTTCAAGAAGACAAGACTGTGGTTACCAGCCCCCTGATATCGTTATTTGCGCTGTCCGAGATATGGTTCAGAGCTGCATGGGGGCGGAAGAGGGCTAACGACGGGGATAGGGTTAAGGTGGCTGTCGTGAGAAAGGGTTCGGAGGTGCAACCGCGGTTCGGTTAATGCAAAAGACAGCAACTGGCCTTCGGCTATCGAAAAAGACAGATTGGTTCCAAAATACAGGGCTTCGTCTGCATTTCAGCTGGCCCTTTCAGAAATACGTGTCCACGCGGATTGATGCCCCACCGCAGATGCGTGGGTGCTTTCGTGTACACCTCACCTTCCGCGTGATCCCCATCCAGACCCTCCGATGCCGTCGTAGACTCCGTCGCCGCCGCCGTCTTGCCGCCGTCCGGTGGTGCCTTCCTCCCCCGCCTCCCGCCCCGACAGCCACCGGCACAGCCTGGGGACCGCCCACCCCGGGTCCAAGGAAACGAGGCCTTCGGACGCTATGTTACGCTGCCGCAAGTCGTCGCTGCCGAGACTGCGTAGGGTTCAGGGTAGAGGATAGCGGGGTACAGCAGGGTAGAGGGGTACAGTAGCGTAGACGGGTGAGGATGGAGTGAGATTGTGAGCAAGTCGTATGGCCGTCAAAAGCAACATGTCGAGGAGAGTGGAACCACGAGTATCGAACCGAAAAACCGAAGCCGAAAAACCGAAACCAAAAACCGGCTTTTGAAAATCTCAAGTTTAGTGAACTCCTCCTGACAGTGAAAATTGTTGGTTGCTAGGTTGCGAAGAACGCGAAGGAAGGGTGTTCTCGTCATGGGTGTCCATCTCCAGTCTCAACCGAGATAGACTCTTTTCTCACCATGAAAACGTGCTTGGTGTATCCCTTGCTTTGTGGGCATTTGGCAAAAAACTTGGCATGCTGTCAACCGTCGCCTGCCACCGTGGAATGCCAAGTGAGATTCGACATCATCCACAGAGAAAATAAACCTCAAGGTCACATTCTCTAGTTTGGTCACGGGAGGTCACCGCCAAGAAGGGAAGGCCTGGGACTTCGTGAGCGTAGAGCAAATCAGTCTCAGGTTCTGTCACAACCTATTTTATTATTGAGCTGACTTCACCCAACCGAGGAAGGAACGCCTTGTGCATCATCATGCATGAAGGTCAAGGTCTTCGTTCCCGGCGCGGCTGGGGAACACAGGTACTGTTGTTGTGTCTGAAGATGACCAGAGGCCGGATGCATCGATGGCTAGTACTCAGACACATGCGAGAGTGGGCCTGCAGCACAACGAGGGCATTCTGTGCCTCGTAACTATCTGTCACCCTTTTTTCCTTCGTGAGATTATAGTACCAAATGGTCCAGGCCTTTACACTCAAACGATTTCAAGTCTTGAAGAAGAAAAGGGTGTGAATTAGCATCGGTCCGCCCCAGTTCCTTTGGCTGCTTTTTCGCGGGGGTGGGGGTGGGGGGGGGCAGTTTCATGGATCTGCTCACCATTGGATGAGGTATTCTCCCACGCCGTCGAACGGAGAAAGGCCACCATGTTCGTCGCGGACGGGAAAAGGTATATCCTGGAGGCGACCGCCATCTGTGCAACGGAGGGCCTCTGGCGCGGCCGCACGGGCAGATACGAAGGAGAGAGCAGCGAGCGACGTGAGAAACCAATCGCACGAGAGAAGTCGCGAGTCACGCCAAGAACAAGCTGGCGGAACCTTCCTTATTTCTCGCCGACAATTAACGTACAGCATGCAAAAAAGTATAAGCAAACGGGCGGGGGGGATGCCTCAACGTAGACCGCAGTACTGCCATACCTGCGAGAATCACGGTGAGCCGCAACCGAGCAGCTGCGGACCAACCAGGGGACGCTACGGATACATCCCCGGGGGAAGTATCCGCTGCTGCGCCTGGGTCTCCAGTAGCAGCTCGCAGCACCTGTTTCGGTCACGAAGGTAGGCGGTACCGATGATGAGCGCAAGAAATGTGGAATACAGTATGTGCAATGGTTTGTGACGTCGAACCATCCGAAGCAAATCGATCTTGAGGTCGTTGAGTTGTTCGAGTGGTTGGAAACATCTGAAACAATTAGACCTCGTCTGCTAAGGCGTGCATGCAGGTCAACCATCACCCACAAATCGAGGTCGTGGTCACAAGCCAAGCGTGGGGCAACGAAGACAAAAGGAGGGTGACGAGATCAGAAGGGCAACAAGAGAAACATTTTTCTCGTTTTCGGCGCCAGTTGTATTTCCAGCAGACTTGAGGGACGCTCGTAAGAAAACGGTTACAACGGCAAGGACAGCCTCCCGTCCTTGCTGCCCGCGGACCACACCCTCCCACCTTCGGCACGACGAGCAAGGGGTAGTTCACCGCTAATCCCGTCAGTACCAAGCACACCGCATCCGAAGCACCGCTATCGCCACCCCCCTCCCCCGCTTGGCCCAACAGCCCCAACAGCGGGCCGACATCAAGGCGGTCCTTCGTGGGCCCCACCGAGCCGGATCTGTCCTTGGTCTCCTCCAACGCTGTAGACATGACCCATACCAGAGCCGACGAAGCAAGCTTCTGTTGAGACGGTGAGAACAGGGTCAACGGAGTTGGAGAACAGGGGCGGATCGGGGGGGTGGAGGGTGCGTGTGGAAATGACCATGATGATTTCAGCTATTTTGGCGCGACGAGAGGAGGGAGAAGGCACGACATAATCGTCTGCGCAAGAGCCAAACCCCCTCCAGGAACGGGGGAGGAGGACCAAGATGACAAGTGTTGTAGCTGTGTAAAATAGAGCCTGAACCTACGCCCGTTTCTTTTCTTGTTCTCTTCACATTAACAGGAACCTACGCGCCCATGTTCTTCGACGAGAATGAATCCAGGGTCCGTTGTCTTTCCCAAAATTTTGCAAGCGCAACAAGCAATTTCCATTACGAGCACCTTGAAACTTGCAACTTCAGAGGATACGTTGGAGTTTAGACACAAGAAGGGGGGTCCCAGAGCTCGGGGGTTGATTGGCTCTGGACTTGAGGGGACGCCTGTGGGGTTCCCCCGCCGTCTCCAAATGAGCAACCAAACCAGTTACAATTAGCATCCAAGACAAACACAACTTGACAGCAGCAGCGCAGCAGCAGCAAAAAAAAAAACGTGAAGCAACAAAGCCGATACCTGTGCCTCGGGCTTGGAACCGCAAAGCGCACGGATCAAAGCCTCCTGCAAAGCTCCCACCAAGTCATCGCCACCCTCCCCGTCACCACCACCATCGTCCCCATCCGCGCGCCCCCCTACTACGCCCGCACGAAACACGTCCTTGGTCCTTGCCCCACCGACGCAGATGCAGAGGTTACGAAGGGTAAGCCACCGCCCCTCCTCTACACCCTCGGGCGGCTGGTGGATTGGTCGAGGGGCGGGGGGGCACGTGACATGGAAAAGGGGGTCACCGGTTGCCATATACAATCAGAGCACGCGTGCACACACACGCTCTTGATAGGGTGCCACGTTACTGGCAGCAAGCAGCACGCGTGGACACACGCGCTTGATTGTCCGTGTACTGGCTGTCTGCTGGGCTGTGTCGTTGCCTTCGACTGCCCGCCAGGAAGTAGAGCGACCGACACAGAGTCTTAAGGATGGCGGAAGGAAGCGTCGGATACAGGACCACGCCGGCACCAAAGACAATAGCCCATTTTCCATGGCGCTTTTCTTCCAACGACGAAGAACCAAGACGCTTTGCAGCTGGAATGTGTTGTTGCTGGACGCGGTGTGTGACAGTTGTGTGACAGTCGAGGATATTCCCGATACAGTGACAACAACGTTCAAGAGGGGACAACGCGCAAAAGAGCGGCGGGGGCGCAACCACACCCCAGCGTGCACCGGGTCATCAGGCTGAGAAGCGGACATCTAACGTATTCACAAGCTTGAGGTTCTGGCAGGCATCGATTTGCTAAGCAGAGGGGGCAGGGCTAGTTTCTCCAAAAAAATGCAGAGAGTCTGGGCATATCGAACGTGCTTCACCTCAATGCCGGCCATCTCGAGCACCCTTGGATCGCACGCGCGAAGCTCTCGAACTAACCCCAGCAGCTCCGATCTCACGGGGCCCTCTCCCCTCCGGCCTCCTGCCGCCGACCCACCCCGGCCGCTTCCGCCTTTTAGCTGCGCTGTAGGCCAACGACGGTTTCTCAAAATCCACGGCATCGTCCTCGCCAGGTGCCAAGCTGCGTGCTCGACCATCCCGCCTAGTACAACATATCGTCCGTGTCTAGGCGATGAGATTTCGCCTACAAAACAAACCGAAAGGATGGGCGAGGCGGCTTTCATGGAATTCCATTGGCGTTGAATCCGAAAACAGCACCAACACGATCCCATGGTCATTCGTGACTTGAAGAATCGGGTTGGCTGCATCGGAGCGGGAAAATGCGCGGGGGAAATATATAACTGCTGTAGCATCTAAGAGCGCGCCTCCAGTTTCCCTAGTTCATGACCATTATTGTGTTTTGCTTCTACGTGGCGTGAACGGTCTGCCCTGCCCAACTCCCGCCTAAACCTAAGATTGCGCGTTACTAGAACGGAGCCGCGCGTGCATGGTTTCGAGCACTCAGTCTTCGTACCAACAGAAGCAATCTTTGTGTTGACTGCAGAAAAAAAAGGGGGCGCTGAGGGCGGAATGCAGCAAAAGCTGATAGACTGAGATTGTGTTGGGATGCTCGGCAGAGTAGTGATCTACGGGGCCTCCGGGGGCTACGTGGATGCTAATTTGGGCACGATAGGCAAGACGAGCGAGGACCCTCTCGCCTCCTTCATGTCTATCAATCGTTAGTCAAGTCAAATAAAGTCTTGAGTCAAACGTTCTTTTCTCCTTCGGCCTCTGACGAAGCTGCTGCCCGCACACCAAGATAGACCACCCCAGGCATGTGGCGCTCTCAAACCCTGGGGCAGCTAGAGCTGCGGCTATGGCAAATAGAACACTCCTGCCCACGCTCTCACCTTCTTCCAGCCCGTCTCTCTCAAGCACACGCTTTCTCTCCGCATCTTGCTCCTCCAACCTTCTGGCAACGTTCACCGCCGACACGAGAACCGCGACTAGATCGCGCACCGCCTTCGCCGCGAGCCCCCGCCCCCCCTCTCCCGCGACCGCGCCTCGAACGCCGCCGAAGGACAGGCGCGCGCTGCGACCCGCTCGAGACCAACCACCTCTACAGTCCCAAGGGACCGAAACCCCGCTGTAGGCGTTTCCGTCGCGAGACGCTGCTCGGACACCGCCAGGACCGCGTCCATCAGAACCAGAACCAGGCTTGCTGTCACCGTTGCCACCGCCGCTTCCACTGCCGGCTGCGCCAACAGACGCACCCCCCTCTGCCACCCCGCCGAGCCACGCTTCCGCCAAAACAAGGAGGGGGATTGTGGACGAGGGCAAGAGCTCGGACAGCACTCTCAACGCTCGCCATCGGCCGCGCGGCTCCTCTTCCGCCCCCCGCTCCTTCGCAATCGCCGCCCTCGTCTGCTCTTTCTCTTCCTCCCCCGCCCCCTTCTTCCCCCCCTCCTCTTTGCCATCCGTCGCCCGCACCGGCCCACCTCGCGACCTCGCGGGCGATGCCTGTCTCGCCGGAGAGGTTTCTCCCCTCCCACCATCTCGGTAGATCTCATCCGCTTCGACTACTGGTACCACCTCCACCCCCTTCTCGCCGCAGCTGCCCTCGTCGGTATGTCCGCCTCCGGCTGCTGTCGCTGCCGCAGATAAGGGCACCGGTGTTGTTGCAGGTCCTGTCGCGCCCGCGGCCTCAGGCGTCGCCGGGCCGGTAGACGACGCCACCGCCGACGCTACTAACGCACACGCCGACGTCAGCGCGAGGGCGCACTCAGTAGCGAAGCAGGCAAGGGCAGTGGGGCGGGCAGCAGCCGCCGCCGTCCCAGCCGTGGTCTTCGCAACTGCCGCCGTTGGCGAGGGCGCTATATCCCCAGCCCCCGCCGCCGCTGTCGCCGCCTCCATCCCCGCCCCTGTCCCAGAGGCGTTTCTCTGCTGTTGTGGTGGGAGTACGCGTGATGGTGGTGGTGGCATGCCTTCGGCGATTGCCGTTAGCAGCGGCACGAAGCGCTCAGCAAGAGACACCGCGAGCCCGCTAAGCACCCGTACCTCGTCGCTGGCGCTCCTCGCCGCGGCGGCGACTTGTCTCACCGACGATGGTGGTCCCGGCCTAGTAGTCGCTCCGCGAGCGGGAGATAGCCCGTCCTCCTTGATCGGCCACAACCCCTGCCGAAGTATTCGCGAGCCAAGAGAAGGGTGTTCGGCAGAAGCGAGCAAGTGATGGGTGCCTATATTTTCACATGGGATCGGCTTTTGGGCGAGGGACACACTCCGGAGATTAAGACAGCTGATTCGTGCCCACCTTTTCTAGAGAATCAGTCACGGCCAGAAGCGTCCCCACCGCCGCGAGCCTCGTCTTCTTATCGTCTCCAACTAGAGCAGACTCGAGTAAGCCATCTACCGTACAGGAATCGTGGTCTCTCAGCCACCTGCCGCGTCGTATTCGCCGAGGAGGTAGTGCGGTTGTCCGCCGAGGGGTCAATGGGGGGGGTAGAAGCAACAAGAGATCGCGCAACACACGTCGCCGACTTGATTTATTACGTGCTACAGCAGTGAGGTTCTGACTTACTAGTTGCAGCAATCGTTGTTTGAAACCTTGAGGGGGGAGGACCGACGGGTCCGTGTCTCCACACGTCCTCGGCCTCCACCAGACAGGAACGGGACAGCGATGCCAGCATCTCCGGGTGTGAAAGTACTGCTGTGCAGCTCGATACAGCTCGCATGCGAGCATTGAGTGGAAGCCAAGGGTGCAAAACCCGTGTTCGGCTCCATGTACACACAAGTAGCAATAATCTTGTTCGATGCAGTAGCGTGTAGATACCTGACCGCCCTCCGGATTACTGGCACGATCTGCAAGCCCTGGCGATTTCTGCGTTTTTCGTAGATGTGAAAACGTTTTCCTCGGCATTTCGCTGGCTTTTTGTCTTCGGCAGTTGTTCGGTGTGACATAGAAAGTGCAGTGAATGGAAAGGCTCCCAAAGACAACCTTGCCGCCCGTTGTGACAACTCCTACTCAGCACAAAACAAAGGGCACATGCAACTATTGCCTCAATAACAGCCAGGGTAGCCTCGCACAGTGTCCTGTATACAGCAGGCGGTGGCTGCAGCTGCATGGCCTACTGCTGTACCCAATTCAAATATCGCTCGGCACTCACAGACATGACCTCAGTTCCCGCTTCCTGCTGTTGCTGCCCCCTCTGTCTGCAGCATTCCTGATTTTTGACAAGATCAGCCTCCATCCTTCGGAGGTGTCGTGTGCCCCAGTTGCGCAGCTCATCCCACATGCGGCTGGCTTGCTCTGTTGCCTCGATGGCTCGATGGCCTCGGGGGCGCGGTGGATCGCAGCATTTACGAAATCTACGAAACCGGAGATCGGAGAGCTGGAAAAAGGCCGATATTATAGCATCCCGAGAGCACTGCACACTAAACAGCGGTTTACCCCAATGAGACCGCCGTTGGCGAAGACTCTGGCTGCTTGCAAGCACCTCGTCCTAACGGACAGGGCTGTACGTCGCTGGATTGGGTTACCGTTCAGCACTACTAGTATGTTAGCCAAACGCGGCGGAACTTGTTGTTTCGCACGCAGCAGATCGATCGCGACTTCAACGACATCAAGGGGGGGCAAGGGGGGTGCACCAGAAGACGGCGAGCGCGGCAGCGCGGAATTTTGGGTCCACGATATCGCTGACCTGAACAAGGACATATCTGGCTTTGTGGGGGACTTGGGCGATCCAGACTTCGATACCACCCCTAGCCCTCCTCCTGCTCGTGCCGTCTCAGGTGCAATGATTCAATTGTTGTTGTTGTTGCCTTCGCAGTAGGTACAACCGTTGCAACCTCTGCTCGGCACCTTCCACTGTAGCACCCACACCCGCACAACTAACGCGGACACCTTCCGTGGTCACTGGCCAACTACCCAGAAAATGGGCACTTGCATGGAAAATATACTATTGATGTTATCCTAAGACACTTCGGGGCTCGAAAGGCCGCCATGATCACCTGGAAGACGCATGAGCACTTGCGTCTTACAAAACCGCAATCTGTGCGTTGTGAACTCCCTCACGGGCATGTTTGCGCGTGCACAGACCCCTATGACACCTCGATATCTTGTGCTTTTTTGTACGCGCAATGCTAAGGGTCCCGGCGGAATGCCCAAGCCGAGAGAGAAGACACCCCGGCTGCGTTTCAAGAATCGCAAACCCGGCTCACGTTGGCTGATCACCCCGGAAAAGTCGAGGGGCTCGCCGGAGAGCGCGACGAAGAAATCCCCATGGATGATGACTGGTCCACGTCGTTTGTCAAAGGGTACCTGGAGGCCGTAGAGCGAAAGAGCTCAAGTGGGTCAAGAGCAAGAAGGTCCGTCCTGGTGCTAAACGGACCGGCGTGTTTTATCGCTGGGACTCTAGCCAGCACCGGAGAACCGCGGGTGAGTGAACGGAGTGAGGGTCAAGAACAGTCACGTGCGCTCGGGATACAGCAGTGTCCCACCCTCTTTTCCAGCAGTTTTGTTCATGCATGAAGCCCTTCTCCAGTGCAGACAAGTTTATGCCGGAACGAGCATTGAATTATTCAGCCTTGCTGCGCCTCAATGAAATGAACGCGCCTGGTCACCTGGCCCCAACACGCTGGAGGCGGCAACGATACTCTTGGTTGACCCGGTGAAACATCCCTGTGAGCTTCTGCCGTTGCGATACCATGTGTGTATTTGTTTTCGGGGCGGCGCAACGTTTCGAAAAGTCGTTCCCGCACGCCTCTCAGGCGTTTCACCCATGGCCACCTGTGGCGCCCTCAACTCCATGTCGACCAAACCATTGTCTCGTATCCTGTCCCATCCCTTGTCTCGTACTTGTTCTGATCGTGTGCAATTTCACTTGTTTTCGTTCGGAGAAGGGAGCGGTTGCGAGTTCAATGGAGGACGCCGCCCAAGAGTTCAACCTATCGCTGACTGTCTGCACTTCGAACCGGTGCGTAATTCCTGCATCACACAAAGTGGTATCTGGGGAGCAGCCGACTGATACAGCAGGCGAAGGGTTAAGCCAAACCTATTCCCGGCAACGGCCAGAGAGTGCCGGGTAGGCGAGCGCCTCTATTGCAAACAGGTTGCTCGCGCCTAGGTCAACCTCCCCCACACTTGAATTGGAAGGTGCTTTACCCATTGCCTAGCTCGAGATGTGAAACAGCGCACGGTGATCGCTTGGATAACGAATTCATGCTTGTTGGTTTCGGCGGAGTGTGTCGGCATTATATCGATTTCATTTAGCTATTCATATGTTCATGCTAAGTGCAACTATATAATATTCCACGTTGTTGCGTAGCACCCTCTGGCATGCAGTCGGACACGCTTTTCCTGCGCCCTTCTCCCAATAGGCTTTATGCAAAGGAAGCCGCGATGTCGGGCTAGGTTTAAGGCCGCACCGTTGGGGTACAATCGGCAGAGGCTGGGCTCATTGGCCATGACACGCAAGGAGTGATTTTCCGTCTGTGCATGTACAAGTCATGTTTGTTTTTCGGGAATACCCCGGGCTGCTGTACGCAAAGGAACTGATGGCTTCGTGCTTGTGCCCGTCTGTGTTGCTCGTAAACGATACGATGGGAACAGAGAAGATGAGCTGTTGGACCGACTTTGCGAGGGGGGCTACGACGCTGTCGTCTACAACCCCTCCGGGTTCAGCAACCAGGGGTTGCGAGTGGTGGTCCCAACCGCCGCCCCAACTCACCAGATGATGACGGACGCATCTCCTGCATCAAACAGTTCAGGCAACGCCGCTCACACCGAACCAGCCGAGGACGGTTTCCCACAATCGCAACAATCACGGGTTGATGATCCGCGACATAAAACGTGGCATGACAACGTCCCGCGACACAGCGGGAGCGGGAGCGCCCTAGAGTACGGTCTAGAGCGAGCGGGATGCCCCGTCGTAATCATTTCACCTGGACGAGATGGAAATCTGGGGGCAAACATGCTGCAATCCACCAGCCGTGGACCTGATGTGGACCTCGGGTGTCGGTCGGAGCGAGGAGCGGAAGGAATAATTGCAGGCTTCTCGGGGGCTGTTTCTTACCGATTGGCGATGGCGGCAGTATCGAGCGTATTGGATGGATTCCGATAGTACTGCCGTGATACCTCCCACGCTACCTTCGTATAGACCTTAGAGGGGCGTCTGCTGCCTGACTAGCAATGAAGGAGGTGTTGCGCTAAAACCGCACCCGCTTCCCAGTTTTTCCCTCTAAGCCAAGGATTCTGCGGTTGCGCTTCGTCTTTCACCGGAGGCGGTGTTCGGCAACATTGATTTGGTCCAGTGACCAGAATTTATGTTCGAACAGTTTATCGACGTTTTCCGCGCACCCCGCGCTCCTCCTTCACTGCTGCCAGGAGCAGTCCTTGTCCACCTCTGAAGTGAGGTCGTGGGCAAATGGCAGGGAGCGAGATACTGCTCTAGATCGCCATGCTTCTGCCGCTGCCGTCTACATGTACGACGTAGTTATTTTTAACTGTGATACCGCTGTAGTACCGTCCTTGGCCGGGACCTCCGCAGAGAATACTGAACGGGCGTCAAACGCGTATTATTTGTCCTCGTAATGCTTCTGCTTTCCAAACAACCATGTCAACTCCTCCACTCAGCCTGGCGTGCGTGTTGAGCTTGCCATATGCCATATCTCAATACACTAGTCGCTGCTCCCAGTAAAAATGGGGATGTGAGATGGGCCATGCGGGCAGGATGATCCTCCAAACAACCAGCCCCCCCCCCCTCCCCCCCAAAGTAGCACACATGTGTTACCGTACGTTGCATGAGATATCATACCCCATGGACCGATTTTCAAGGCTTGATTACTCAGCAGACGAAGATGTGACGGTGCCGAAAATTGGCGGACATGGAACCGTCCCGTTGAGAGCTTTTCGAACATGTATGGTTTGCCTCAGGTATCCTGTTGGCCGTGGAGTAATCGAGCTTCGAAATCGGTCCAGGAGGTGTGTTGTCTTCTTGATGCAACCTACTACGACGTACGTACGGCGGTCTCCATATGAAGCGCACGCTCTTGTGAAGTATCATTGCTTGTAGCGCTGAACGACAATACAGGAAAATTGATCCATATCTCTCTCCCCCCCCTCTCTCTCGCACACACCGAAGTTCATTAACTCAAAACTCACATCATTCGCCCGTTGACCCTCTTTTTCCTCAATCTGTATGCATACGACCCCCATTTACCGGTAAGATCGCGCTGGAACCCCTGGAAAACCAAAGTTTCGCCGCAAGTCGGAAAGTCGGAGTTCGAATTTCGAATACCGAACAAGCAGCCAAGTGTGCAACATATCCCCACCTCCGGTGTCATCAACACGGCCTTCAACACAAGGTTTCTCGTAACACCGTTGTAGAAAGCTGAGCTGGCTTTCCGTCCTTGGAGCCTCGAGCCCAGCTGTACTGTCAAGAGCGACCAAGCCAGGTCAGCAGAGGTGAGGAAGGGGATTGCAAATGTGCAACACGTTGCGTCGGGCATCTGCTGTGTTGCCGTCTACATGGAGCAGCAGCAGTGACATCTGTCCTCCACTAGCAGCCGAGCCAAACGAGACCATATCATGCCTGTTTAGCTTGTGTGTTTTGTCATTAGCCGGTACATATGGCCGCCAGTCGTCGTCCCCTTTATTCACCGCCACCCTTTACGGTCGGGCTGGTGTGGGCACCCAGCCCTTGCGGCAGCGCCAGCTGGGCAACAGACATACATCAGCAAACTTTTCGAGAATTTTGGACGATCAATATGCGCGCCGCAGTGCACCGCAGTCCCTACTCTGTTGCACCGAACAGACATGATGACGCTTGGGGTTCTCGAATAAGGGCTCATGGAGCTGTGCTTTGCATTGAAACCGCAGCGTATTCCTCGGAAATTCCCCTCAGCCCTCTGCCCTAAGGTTGTTGCGTGGTTTGCTCGGAATCGGAACATGGGACCATCGAGACCCACTGCAACCCGCGCTCGCCAACAGCAACGGCAGTGGCTGCAAATTGCACTGAGCTAGATAGCCCTCTGCTGTTCATGTGTCACCTGCTAAAAGCTGAACGCCTCCATGTACTGTAGGTCTGGGCGCAACAAAGGGTTTCATCAGTCATGCTTCTATCCGCCTGGCACCGCGGCTACATTGCTGTTGAATGATGGGCTGGACTTGTGTGAATTTTATCTGCTGTTGCTTTTTCTCGACCTAAACGAGGCGACCCACCAATTGGTGAATCGGTTCACCGAAGTTGGAACTCGTGAGTGCATAACCGATGTTGTCGACAACAGCATCATACATGCATATTTCAGGTCGGCAAGCGCAGCGGGATAGTTCTTCCAGGGCGTACATACGCCAGCAGGAGGGGGTCCAACCCCCCCCTCCTATGTGACCCCGGTTGGGTCGTTTAGCTGGTTGTTGTTGTTGTTTTCTTCACATAAAACTCGTGCAGTTGCTAATCCCAAAATCTAGCAAAGACGCGGTCCGTGGTCACAAAAACGCTAGAGCCATCAGAAGCTGGTAGAAGTGGAGGATAGGGGCCAGAGGGGCAGACGACAGAGTCCAATGATGGGAGAAAAAAAAAGAACGCCATTTGGCTCGTGCTTGCAGTTGAACTGCAGTTACCTTTAACGCCGTTTTGAATTGAGGGCGCTCAGTGAACCGCCCAACGTTGCACTGAGTAGCACCCATCGACTCTGAGAAGGTTGGAGGGCCACATGAACGCTTTAGAAATACTTCTGTTTCTTTTACAAGCCGGAACCACGCACGCACCGCAATCCCGTTCGAGAACGTCGCGGGGTTCGCATTTCTTTGCGAAAAGCAAGAAGAAACTAACGCTGCATGTATCTACTCGACGGGAGAGCCCGAGGTTTCCAAGAAAAAATCCCTCGGAGGTGTGAAGTCTTGTCTTCAGTAAATAGGAGCCCCCCAGGTGTTGCTCCAAATCTTGTTTTTTTTGTGTTTGGAATACTTGTCAGACACACATTCATTTTCCAATATTTTGCAACTGGTACATAAGATCCTGCTGTTGCCTGTACCCACGTACCCACATATACAGCAGGGTGTCCGTAGTGATTATTCTGACGGGACGGATACGCCTCCTCTAACCCGAACAATGGTCCGTAGCATTGGTAGCTGTGTTTCGCTGTCAAGTCTCTCGCGTGCAGGGCAGAGCTCGTGCACGATGCCCTCCACTGACCAAAGGAACTGTCCATCCCTTTCGTTACCTCTTCGGACTTGCTTGGCTCGAACGCGATCGATTCGGCTTGCTCGTCACTACCTGTCGTGGGTAAAAACAAGGCCCTCGCAGGAGAAGCGCGCACCGTCATCATCCCAGCAAAAGGACCAACCATGACGAGCAAGCTGCCGCCGCCATCGGAGAAGCAGCCACCTCTGGGCGACCTGCCCGCGGGGGTCCCGTACGAGGCCATCCTCACCGCGGTGGGAACACTGGCGGAGCAGTCCCCGTCGGCGGGGGGCGGGGTTTCCGCCACGGGGAGGGTGAACGTGATCCAGGGGAGGCTGGACGAGAACCCCGAGGCCGGCTTCTTCGGCTTTCTGTCCGTCGAGAACCTCAACGTCCCGCTCGTGTCGACGTCCCGGTCCTCGCGCGTCGGCCCGGGCGTCTACCGCGTGTGCATCCCGGGCAAGGAGTTCCTGCTCACGCTGGACCAGCGCACGGAGCCCCCGATCGTCGAGGGCATGGAGAACGTCCTGCGGTGGTTCACGGCCTTCGAGGGAGAAGAGATGCCCCGCGGCGTCACGCCCGCCGGTGTCAAGGCCACCGGCGTCAAGGGCGTGATCGAGAGCGCAGGCGTGGCCGGGGCGGCGATGATCATGCGGGTGGGCGAGGCGCTGAACGCGAGCATCAAGGAGCGGACCGAGGCAAAGCTGGCGGCGCAGGCCGACCAGCCGGCGAAGAAGGTCAAGCTGGGCGGGGCGGTGACAGCCACCACGCTGACCGGGGCGCGCAAGGTGAGAACTGTACTACTGTACCGCCGTAGGTGACCGAAGATACTACACCTCCCGGACCGATTTTCAATGCTCGAACTCCACAGTAGGATGAGTGGCGGTGCCGCGCTGGAACTGTCTCGTCGAGAGCTTTCCAAAAACGCACCATTTGAATCTGGAGTATCCGAGCTTTGAAAACCGGCCGAAGGGGGGTGGTATCCTGTGTCATGCCACCCACGGTGTGTAGCCTTCTTGCCTAGAGCCGAAGTAGTGATGGCCGCGGTGGACGGCTGGACTGCGATGCTGGTACTAAGGTAAGGACGCCTCTTGCCGTTTGTTTTTGGGGGACACGCGTGACTTGGCACTTTTTTTACGACAGAAGACTCTGGGTTTTCCGGGCTCTGAAAAATTCCCGCGCTCGCTCCCCGCGGTATGTCCAACTTTTGGGCAGCTTTCATGTGCGCATCTTGCCGGCTGGTGCGGGCTGTTGTGGTTCCCGGGTTTTTCTTGGTTCAACTGGCATGGCTTCGTTTAGGGCGTGCTCGTAAACTGTCTATTTTAGACGGATTTCAGTGTTTCAAGCCTTCCTTGAACGTGCACTCCCTCCTGCAATATATCGCGCAACCTGCGAAAACTCGAGCGTTGTACTTGTAGCCAGGTCGACAAGTCTTCAAATTCCTCAAACACACTGCTACCATTTCACGTTGACATTCCATTCCCGTCTGCCTATTGCAGGTCGTCGGCGCGGGCGCCGGCGTCGCCGCGGCCGTCATCGACAAGGTGTCCACAGTGGCCGGAAACGCCGTGGCAAACAGCAGCATTGTGGCGAACTCGCGAGGCGCTCCCGCGGGTTCCACGAGACGCGAGGCCCACGACTTGCTCGTCACTGGGGCGGTGGCGCTCGGCCGAGTCTGGGAAGCGGCAGACGGCCAGGGCAAGCTGCTGCTGGAGTCGACCGGCGATGGTATGGGACGGATCGCGGGAGCCAAGTACGGGTCGGAGGCGGAGCACGCGGCGAGGTCGGCGGGCCAGATCGGGTTGGACGGGTGGCGCATCTTCCGCTTCCCGACGAAGCTAGGGGTGACGACGCTCGTCAAGGGCGCCGTCAAGGGCGCTACCGCCGCCGGCTCACAGTCCTCCTCGACGAGCAATGTGGGGGAGTATGTCGCTCAGCCTGCACCACCGAACCCCTCCAGTAGCTAGCAACCTGGAGGGAGAAAAATTGCAACGTGCTGAGCATGGCGGGCTTGGAAGATAACCGGGGTATCTTTTCTTCAGTGCTTGTACCGTCGAAGACTTCCGGGGGCATGTTTGAGCCAGTTCCCGTCAGCTTGCAATCGATACAATAGCTGCAACGCGTGGCTGCTGGGGTCGACTTCGGCTGGGCGGTAGTTGATTGCTTCCCTAAGAAACAAGGCGAACATGCCGTGCTCGTTCGAAGTTTAAGATGGCCGCTGGTCTTGCCCTACACAACAGTATCAACAGTAGAAGTAGTGTTGATTGAATGGGTGACATATATATTGTTTCGACGTCTTTCTAGCGAGAGGAGGCGGTAGCAAGTAACGTACATGTTACGATTGTTATCGTGCAGGATATCCAGTCTATTTGTCAGGTAGCCTCTAGAATGTTTGGGAACCGGGGGCTTGCGAAGCGAGATACTTGCAAGTGTCAAATTTGTTTTCCTGTTCTGTGCGAAAGCATTCGCGCTGGGTATCTGCGGCTGGCAGGAAGTTGTGTACTGGTCGTGGTAATGTTTTTTATGTGGAGGGGAACGATTGTGAGGCCCTTGAGTGTACGTTTTGTATTTCCACTTTTGCCTGTGGCCTTTTCTATGTCCGATTTTGTTGAGGTAGGAGTGCTTGTCACGAAGTTGAAAGACGCCGGAGGAACCCATGACTTCCGTCGCCGTCGGATGCAAGCTTTGTTTTCTTGTTTCGTTGTCCTCGATACGCCGAAATATCTTAGGTAATTTGTGGAAACGGGTAACGCATCACTTGCCTGCCTGCTTTTGTCCTTTGAACCGATTACGTCTAAAGTCGTCGCCAGAAACGTGAATGGGCACGTCGCCGGGTATGGCCGTGGTATGCCTGGCACTAGGGTGTACCGGCACGTCACTGCATCAGGCATTTTACGCAGCGCGATTTTGATCGAACGATAGGAAATCATGTCTCATGGGGAACGTGGTTTTGATTGAGGCCCTTCTTTTTTTCATGAAAGCCAACGGCACGTGCGTGATGGGCACCTGTAGAGGCCAGCAGGTGGATGCTGTGGATGTGTGCAGTAGACGAAATAGGAGATGACTTCCAAGTCAACTTCTGAATCAGTCGAATTTTTAGAAGCGCCACCCCTTCCGTCGTTCGACATCGGAGAACAGCCGTTGTTTGTGTTCCTTGGCCTGGAACGGCACGCTGATAGCGGAATGAGTGGAGTCTCCTCTTTGTAGGCCTCCCGCCACTTGCATACGGCCTGTAACGCTGTGCACAAAAAAACTGTGTTCGCCCCGGGGCTCGTAGGTGTTCTGCTTGTTGCAAAGATCGCCCCGTTGCCTTGGTTGTAGTCTCAGGAGGATGGGTCTTCGCGAAACACCGTTCGCCTTCGACGGGGTGTATTTGTACCGGCAGCTCTCGTACGCCCAGACGCTGAAGAGGGTCGAATGCCACAGCGTTGAGGCCACGATCCGACAACGACGCCTACTGTTCGCGGGAGCATTGGCAAGGCAGCCGGACGGGCGACTCCCGAAACAACTGATGCTCGGCGACCTGGCAGGCGGGGAGAAGCGACGTAGGGGGGAACAGGAACAGAACTGGCCGAAGTGTGTGCTTGACCTGAAGGCATTCGGGGCCGACCACGGATCTACGAAAACCGATCCATGTTGTCTCGGAATCCCGGTACCGAAAGACACGGCACCGAAGTTACAGTGGACGGAAGCCGCGAAGGTGGAGGGAGGAGTACCCTGGCATGCGGCGGTGCTGCAAGCTGAGAGGTTCATCNGATGTACCATTACAATGTATCGCTGGTTGGTGGCCATGTTTTGCGTGTTTGCTTGTCGTTAGTGGTCTCTCCACCGTGTGCCTTTTTCTGTCTCTTGTTTCTTGTTATTTTCGGCCTGGTCCATGTTGTCCTCGCTCTTTTTGTTTCATTTTCTCTTTCCTTACTGTTTCCTTTTATTTTCTTCTCTTTTTCTCTTTCCCTCTCTTTTGCTGTGCCGGATGGCCTTGTTTCTGCTTGCGTTGTGAAGTACCAAGATTGAATCAAGAGGGTGTACCTCTTTCTCTCCGGCCCGTGATGGTGACTCCTCTGGTCTCAGTTGTTATCTTGCATAGCGCGTNATTTTCTCTTTCCTTACTGTTTCCTTTTATTTTCTTCTCTTTTTCTCTTTCCCTCTCTTTTGCTGTGCCGGATGGCCTTGTTTCTGCTTGCGTTGTGAAGTACCAAGATTGAATCAAGAGGGTGTACCTCTTTCTCTCCGGCCCGTGATGGTGACTCCTCTGGTCTCAGTTGTTATCTTGCATAGCGCGTAGAGGGAGTGGAGGACTCCAGAATATCTGTCGCTGATTTCTATTGACTTGCGGGCCCCTCGGGGCCATTATATTTGAGTGCACCTTTTTTAGGGTAAGTTAGCCTGCGACCACGGGAATCGACCGCGTCGAGTGTTGGATCAGTACGGACATACGAAGGTACTGGGTAGAGAGAGATCGGAACGGTTTAAATGTGAAAACAACAATTTGTAGGTAGTCCGAAAAGTCCTTCCGGCGATTTCCGTGCCTGTTATTTTTTTCTGTTTGCTATTTTTTCGCAGCTTCTTTCCTGGTTGCTGTGATCTCGCAGCTTCTTTCTCCACGAAGGACCCAAGTTGCACCCATTGTAAACTTTTCCTGCGTGTCTTTCCTTCATGGATACGTGAACGTTTTATCGCACATCAAGGATGATGGTGTAAACACCCGACAACGTTGGTTGCCAACGAGCTTAGTATTGCGCCCGTGGGCTGTGCTTGCGCTTCTTTCGCGTACAGCAGTGCCTGCCTGAGTTTCCTCTGGGGTAGCCACCGTAGTTTTGTTGCGAGAGATTGCCCCTCGACCTCTCGTGCAGACACTGGGGGTGGGGGGTCGACTTGCAACATGTACAACATGTAGTCTACTACTCTGTAATGCCCTACCGAGCGACAATGATTGGGTGGTTGATTTTTCACGCGCACTGCTTGGGAAACCAAAAACAACAGGGCAAGGAGAACTCCATTCGTTTTAGACAATGTGCAAACACCACCGAAAGCCACCTTTTCATCATGCGAAATAACGCCACAACCAAAGGGATGGATGGATGGATGATGGATCGATGTGTTGAAGGCTTTGCAGTGAGTGGGGAAGCAAGCATGTTCCACGACCTTCGCTGACGCGGAGTTCGAACGGTCACCTAATGAGACAAAAATCTTGGCCATCAACCAAAAACTGCTTGGAACTACCGCCTAGGGTACGCGAATTTCCCGCATTTCTACAATATTTCGAGTTCTTCGGCTAATAATGCCGTCGCCTACAGCAAGGGGAGGAATTCGCACTCTACATTTTTTTTTTTTCTCCCATCATTGGACTCTGTCGTCTGCTCCTCTGTCCCCTATCCTCCACTTCTACTAGCTAGACGACCCAACCGGGGTCACATAGGAGGGGGGGGTTGGACCCCCTCCTGAGGTTCATGCCTGAGGTATTTTTATCGCGAGAAGGGTACAGCAATCCCTTCCCTCGCGACTTACGAAGTCGATTATGGTTTACTAACAAACGAGCTTTGCAGCGCGTCGCTTTCATCCTAGACCGGGATTTTTATAGTGAGAAAAAAACTTTCTCTGCCGGGACTCGAACCCATGACCTGGCCCTTAACAGGCTGCGAGGCTACCCATTAGACCAACGGGGCGACCGGTTACATGTGTACTTCTTAGACAGACACATACATGGAACCCCAGGTGATAATTATAAGATTCCCAGGAGGATTCAGCCGTTTTTTAGAACATACATATAACGACGCTGCGAGAAACAAAGCTCGGCTGTCGGCACGACACCAAAAAGTAGATGGTTTGTGAAAGCCAATGCTCATTCGCTCAGCGATAGACTGTATGCATACAAGGAGCCTGTGAGCCTTGTGGTTGAAATGTGCCGCCGCAGTGGCTGGCTCTCAACAAGTATTTGGCGCATTTTTATCTCGAGAAAAACAGCAACTTAAACCCATTTTCGTGAAATTTACAAGCTGTTCTGATCTCGGCTCAGTGGTATGAGGGTGTTTCTTATGAGTGGACCGGCATTGTTGATCTATGCTGTCCTGCATCACGCATCACATGACATGTACTGCTGCTATGCACGAGTCGGTGGCTCGGTGGCGCTCTCTCTCATTCCGTCATGACCCCCCCCCCGCCCCCCCCCCGAAAGTGCGGGGNTCTCATTCCGTCATGCCCCCCCCCCCGCCCCCCCCCCGAAAGTGCGGGGGTTTCGTGTATCTCGTCCCACCTTGCAATCTCTGACCTCTGACACACTCCAGGAATCATATTGCACATGCGGGGAATGCGGTGGCTATGGGCCGGGGCGCTGGCCTCAACAGTGGGGAATGCCATGGCTTCGACGTCGCTGGACAGAAGTGCGGCTGAAATCCTAGCTTTTGGGAGGTATGCTTGTGGTGCATGTTGAAGGGTCGTATCAGTGTGTACGTCAACTCTCTCTCTGCTGGCCCCTGGTACATAGCTCGCAAGAGCATCAGCGGAGCGAACGCACCGCGTGCACATGCTGTGCCCACGGCAGTAGAAGGAGCACCTGGGGATGGGTAGTTTTGGTGGTTCATGTGCTTTGGTTTCTCGCCCCTTGTCCTCCGGTTGAGCACCGCGACCTGGTCCCACGAGCGGGTCCCGCTACCCAAAATATTGTTGGGGTCCATCGTCCATTCGGAGCGAGAGATGGTTTAGGATCCAAGGCGAACTGGCTTCCTTAGTGCATGCACCACACGCCTTGGTGTAGTCGCCTGCTGCTGTTGCTGCATCGTGGAGGCTTCGCGGTCGCGGATGCTGTCGGGGGTCTCCTTGACAGCAGGGCGAAACCTGCGTGATTGTCGAAGGCAACTTAGCGGCCGATGTATCTTGGAATAGATGATCCCCTCAACATCGCAACAATGAATAATTATGTCCACAGCTGCATCTTTCACCCACCCTGCCGGGAGCTGGAGCATCTTTGTAGCTCTCGCTGTGGTGTGTATGCATGTTGAACTGAAGCGAAACGGGGATTGTCAAAAACTGTGCTGTTTTTGTACAGCTTGCTGTTCCATTTGGACCACGTAATTTGCCGACACCTCACAGACCTACTTCTACATGCTGTTGAAAAGTCAGTAGTCTACTCAGCAATATTGATCAATCATGGGGATAAAGCATTCAATCCGTGCTTCGGGGTTAGGGTTAGGGTCAGGGATGAAAAAAACGTCGATGGCATGGTTGTATGCATGATAGCCTATACGTGTGCATACATACTACACGGCAGTGGTCAGCAGGCACATTGTACCACACACGCTGTCATCCTTCCAAGTGCTGGCCAATTCGGTCCACTCGACTAGGTTGTGTACGAAAGTTCGGTGAGGTAGCCAAGTTTCCTGTATGCTAGCGGTACTTTCACGTTGTGGGGTTGATATAGTATATTTGCATACGGTACGCAGGTAGACTGGGATCGGTAATGGGCGATCCTGCTGCGCTAGAGTTTCTGGTTTACATACATGTAAAGCTAACCGGATCGCTGTGTTGGCGACTGCTGTTGCAGGCTGAACATGACCGTCCCACTGAGTTTAAAATTATAGTAGTGTGCTAGTCAAGATGGTGACAATAGGTTGCATTAGATAACACACCCCCTGAACCATTTCCAAAGCTCGAGGACTCTGCAGCCGAAAACAGTAGGGGATGGGAACGTCTTGTCGAGAGCTTTCCGAAAATGGATCACTTGAGTGCGGCATCCTCGTCGTCATGCCGTAATTCGAGCTTGTACTCTCGGCCCAAGAGGTGTGTTATCTTAAGCAACATTTGGTAGCCCGGTCATGTATCTGTCACACGGCTGATGGCCGGCGAGGCTATTCGGGGAAATGTAGGACGGTGCAACAGCTGCGTGAAAAGTGCCTCCCGAGAGTGCAAACGCTAGACCAGAAGCAAAGATAGCGAGCAGATTAACTTTCAGATGCGATGCATTTGTCTAGTTTGACGCAAACTCGAAGAGCGTAAAACTGCGTGGCACAGAACGGATGCTGTCTTGAGGCAATTTGTTGTCATGGTGACGAGGTCTGTGCGATGAGTATCGGCGGTGGGGAGGGTATGGCCCAAGACGGGCTCGAAAAAAGCAACAACGCAAGGTTCCGGCGAATCGTGAAGGAAGGGAGCGGGTACATTCTGCCCCTTTTCTTCAATTTCGTGTTTTCTGTAGTGTTTTTTGTTTTCCCTGGACCAAAACGCCTCTTGTAAACCCTCTTCGCGTCGCCGTTCCTGCCGCTGGCGCTCACAACAACGTGGCCGAAGCTGTGGCAGTATCGCCAGCGGGGTCTGCAGCAGCAGCATCAGGAGCGGCAGAGCAGGCCCTCAGCACGTCAGCAGGATCTCCGCCGAGCCTGCGACGATGTCGCTCACGACGAGGGTAGACTCGGGAGATTCATCCGCGATGAGGCCGGGGGGGGAGGCAACAGTGGCGGGGACGAGGGGGGCGGGTCTCCCGAGCTTTTGGGCGACGTTTTCGCCGTCGAGAGCGGGCCGGGGGAGGGCGCTTGTGTCCCCCTTGTCGGCGAAGGCGGATTCCGACGAGAGCGGGGTAATCAACAAGAAGGCGGAGTTTTACGGGAATTCGGCGCCGGGCGCGGTGGCCCCCAAGGGTGCGGAGAAGCAGGACGAGGCCGCGGTGGAGTACGCGGTTGGGGGGGACTGGGATAAGTCCGTCCAGCTGATCAAGGCCATGCGGTGAGGGTGGGGGTGGAGGGGTGGAGGGGCGGAGAAATTGGCACACAGACAGACAGACAGACAGACAGACAGACAGACAGAGACAGGGACAGAGAATTTAGGCAGAAGCGGTTGACAAACGTTTTATAGTAGGGGCTGCTGGTGCGCGGCGGTATCCCTCGCCGACCAAATGGGTGACCTATTGGAGGATGTACGGATGCTTCTGGCATTGGCCACCCAGGGCTCCGAAGCAACGAAACTGGCCGAGGAATTCTTGGCTATACAACCGCAATCAACCAAACATGAATATTTGACGGTGCACTTTCCCTCCGATACCATCTGCTCGGTTATGGTGTAGGCAGCTGACCTCTGTTATTTTGTATAATATAGAAAGGTTGTGCTCCAAAAGATCCACGGCGAGGAGCATCTCAAGTTGGGCGCTCTCCTGTCAGTGGTGGGGTCGTCCCGTCTCGGCACCAGCAACCCGTGTGAACTTATTGTATGCATAGGCCATGCGGCACCTCCTCGTGTGCTTGCCCTAGGAGGAAAACACAACACACGTTGATATCAGTATCGCAGGGAAAACCGAATGAAATCAAGCAAATAAGCAAAGTAATGATGGAAGAGAAGATATTCTCCTCCAGATTAGGACTTTGAAATTGCTCAACAAGCTTATCGTATCAAAATCTGTATTGAGACTACAAATCACGCCATCTCAGGAGAGCGGACCCAAGAAAAGAGCGCCAAGCGAAGCAGTGGTAGGAGTAGGCGTAACCCCGACACCTCTGCAGCACGTGCCCGCTACAACTCCCCCGTGACAAGAGCCACCCGTGACAGAGAGGGGTGTAAAGTGGCGCCTCCTTGGGGTGAAAGCCTGGAGTTTCCGAGCAAAAGAAAGATGCACATCCTGAGGTCGACGGCGCTTACGAAGTCCTCCGAAGCACATTCCAGAAGGCAACAGTCGATCTCTGAAGCGTAACCTTTGCCTCAGTTGAGAGAGTCAGCCTCGTGCTGTTTTGACGGTTTCTGGTGAGATGGCCAATACTGCTGTTGTACCCTATCCCATGATTCTGCCAAATGCCCCCCCTTCATACCCGTTTTTGTCCTCGTTCGTTCAGGGATAGCGATTTCGTTCCCTCGGTGAACGCGTACGTGGCGACCATCGAGGCTTGCCGGAAGGCGGGCGAGTACGACCACGCGTCCACCCTCCTCAGGTACTCATGGAACATGATATCCCGTTAGATCCCAAATTTGCCGTCGTAGTGACCCCCGATCAGTGCAGCTGCGTGGCACTGCAAGAGAGCTCCGCTCTCGAGTCCCAACCCGAGTAGGAAGTCTTGACGTCGGGGCGTCTTGTTGTGTACTTATTTTCGAGCGATATATTTTGTCATGAAGACCATCGGGTCGGATATTTTTCCTACGCCATTGTGGTTGTCGCGCCTGTTTGGTGTTTTTTATTTTGTTTGGTTGTGGAGCTTGGTTTGAAACCCTTCTCCGCATTCCTAGACAGGGATGACGCGACTGACTTTAGTCGACAGACAGGCTGTAGTCCTCTCTTTTTTCCTCTCAGGGTTATCAAAATCCATACTGGATACCTGGTAGGTCTCAGGGCGGCGGGGGGGGGGGGGGTACTCATAGTCGTGCATGCCGT